GGGGTCCCAGATGGATCTTGGGGGGAGCAACCAGAGTTTTGGGGGGATCTGGGCTTTGTTTGGGGACTGAGGATTTGGGGGGGCTCTGGGGCGTCTTGAGGAGTTCTTATGTCCCCCCCTACCCCCCTGCACAGGAGGAGGTGACCGTGGCTACGGGGGCCGCTACGAGGGGCGCAGCGGGGGGGGCTACGGGGGCTCCCGTGACTACGGCGGCCGGTGAGTGGGGGGGCACCCCCGGGGTCTGGGGAGGCCCTGGGGGTGCTGGGAGGGGGGTGGTAGAACTGGGGGGGTCTTTTGGGTGCTGGAGAATCCTGGGGGAAGCTCTGGGGGTGCGTGGGGGGCTCCTGGTTGCTGGGAGGGGCACCCATGGGTGCTGACCCCCCCTGCTCTCCCCCAGGAACCAGGGGGGCTACGGCGAGCGCTTCCCCTCGGCCTCGTACCGGGACAACTATGACAACTGAGGTAGGGGCACGGCGGGGGGGGGTGGGGGTGGCACCCCCCAGCAGTGACTGGGGACACCCTGGGGAACCCCCCTGCACACAGCTGGGCACCTCAAAAACCCTCCAACCCCACGACCCTTCCCCCCAAACCCCCCATTTTTGGAGGGAGGCTACGTCGTTTTCTGACACACACACCCCCCCCCAACTATTTTTGGGGGATCCTTTAGCTCCCCAAAGTTCAATTTTGTGGAGTTTGGAAGGGGTTATTGTTTCTCCTAAATAATTTTGGAGTCTTCGTCCATGTTGCCAATTTTGAGGGGGTTGGGGGTCCCCGAACCCGCTCAAACTCCCATTTTGGGGGGACTGTGGTACACTCTGACATCCCCTCAATCGTTTTGGGGTGGTTTTGGGGTTCTGTCCTTTTATGCCCCCAATTTTTTAGGAGGAGTGACAGTCCCTGAATCCCCAAACCCATCCATTTTGGAGGGCTGTGCTGGTCTCTGACCCCTCCGCAAATTATTCTGTGCAGTCCCTGACCCCTCCAAACCCTTGTTTTTGGGGGGCGGCGGCTACAGAGTTCTCTGACCCTCCCAAATTATTTGGAGGATAGTTTCGGGTTCCTCCTGTGCCCCCAAACCCCCATTTTTGGGGGCTCTTTGAGTGCCCCTTCCCCACTGATTTCCTTCTCATCCTCAGCTTGGACCCTCGGTGCTGGATTTCAGGGGGGGCCCCTCCTCCCCCGGGCCATGGATGGACGCCGAGGGGGGAGTGGGACATGGTGGGGGGTGTGAAGGTGGGGAGAACCCTCAATTTGTACTCCCCTGTGTCCTATTAAAGGTCAGACCCTCTCTGAGTCGCGTCTCTTGTCTGGTCCTCTCTGGGTGGTCCCTGCTCCGTGGGGGTCTCCAGGGGCTGCAGGATCCCTGTGGAGTGACCTCACTCCAAGGGGGATATCTCAGGGTGACCCCATTCCAAGAGGGGATCTCGGGGGGCCTCAGTCCCTGTGGGGTGACCCTGCTCCACTATGGGGTGACCCCTCTCAAAGGGGGGGGTCTTGAGGGGCTCCAGCTCCCGTGGGGTCTCCAGTCGGGTCTTGGGGCACTTCGCTCTTGCTGACCCACCCCGGGCAGTTTGCAGCGAGGCCTCTCCAGCTCCCAGCGTTTCAGCCTCGGTCCCCTCCGTGTCAGGGCAGCCCCAGCTGCCCCCTCAACCCTCCTGGAACGTGGCACAGCCAGGGATGGCAACTCAGGCACCGTCCTGGCAGGAGCAGCGGGACCAGAGGAACCAGCCCATGGCATCCCAGTGCCCCCAGTTTCAGGGAAACTCACCCTTTTTTTCACCTTTTTCAGGGTTTAAATTGAGGGGAGAGCCTCTTTGTGCATCATTCTAAGAGTCTAAATCCTTTTACTATTTTAAGGATTAAACAGAAGGAAAACCACACTTTGCTTTATATCGAGGGGGAAAGGGGTGGGAAACGTGAGCCACGTGGGGAGACCTCCAGAGGTGCCCCCACAAATTCAGAGGAACCTGATGGTGTTGGGGAGTCAGGAGGGACTTAGGGAGATGTGGGTTATGGGGATGAGAGAGGGTGGAGGGAATTTGGGAGAGTCTTGCATGGGGCACAGGGAGGGAACAAGGGAAAGGGGGGGGTTTGGGGGTGTCTCCAATTTGGACGAAGATTCCTCACAGACAAAAGATGCCAGGACAGAGAGCTCTTGCTGTCCGTGGAGTGCCAAGAGTGGCCCACCAACTGCACTTGAGAGATGGAGGGTCAGGGCTTGCTTTCCTGGGAGAAGGGCTGCCATTCCCTTCCACGAGCCCTGTGCTGTGATTGGCCGTCCGACTCCCAAAAGTGAAGGAAGATTCCTCCCAGACAAAAGGTGCCAGGACACAAAGCTCTTGCTGTCTGTGCTGTGCCAAGAGTGGTGCACCAACTGCACATGAGAGTGGGAGGGCTTTCTTTCCTGGGTGGAAGGGCAGTTGTTTGCTTGCAGGAGCCCTGCCATTGAATTGGCCAGTCCGGCTGCCAAAATTGAATATGGACGAAGATTCCTCCCAGACAAAAGGTGCCAGGACACAAAGCTCTTGCTGCCCATGGAGTACCAAGAGTGGCCCAGACACTGCACACAAGAGTGGAGGATGGGGGCTTCCTTTCCTTGGGTAAAGGGCTGTCGTTCCCTTGCAGGAGCCCCACGCTGAAATTGCAACTCCAACTCCCAAAATTGAATATGGACGAAGATTCCTCCCAGACAAAAGGTGCCAGGACAGAAAGCTCTTCCTGTCCATTTAGTGCCAAGAGTGGCCCACCAACTGCACATGAGAGACTGTGGTTAAGGGCTTTCTTTCCTCAGTGGAAGGGCAATCGTTTGCTTGCAGGAGCCCTGCGCTGGAATGGCCCCCCCCGACTGCCAAAATTGAATATGGACGAAGATTCCTCCCAGACAAAAGGTGCCAGGACAGAAAGTTCTTCCTGTCCACATAGTGCCAAGAGTGGCCCACCAACTGCACATGAGAGACCGCGGGTAAGGGCTTTCTTTCTCCTCCCAGACTGTGACAGAGGGATCACTGTAGCTGCCCAGCATCATTTCTGTGTCCCCAGCACTGAGGTGTCTCCTCCATGGGGATTCAAGGCAGCACAGAAGTACTATAGGGTATCCCTGCCTCTCTGGAGGACACCCTGCAGCCCTGCAGGACACCCAGGGAAACAGCTGAATGTCCTGGAGCTGACTGGAGGGCACTTGGGCACTTTGCTCCCAGAGACACATCCCCACAGCTGCACCCAAAGGGTCTTTTTCTGGACAGGAACCTGCCACCCCCAACCTCCCACATTAGCTTAGAAAATCCAGTGGTGAGAACAAGGAGAGCCCAGGCAGCAGGGGATGGCAGTGAAATGCCACAGTGCTGCTGCCAAGGGAGGAGGGACACAGAGACAGCTGGAAATCAGGGCCTTGTCCTT